ACCAGATTACCACCCGTGCGAGCATCCAGGATGTGCGGCACCGTGACCACCAAGTCATACAGAGAAGCTCCCTCCGCCTCTTCAGCAGCACTTAACTAGTAACAGATAAAGTACGAGATAAACAGAAGATAAACTTTTTTTTTTAACCACATGCTGTTACAGCAGCCAAAACAGTACACCCTATTTAAGATAAATAACCGTTAAAATAGAATATCTCAGAAACTCAAACTCTAATCTGACAAACTGAAATGGAGTAGTAAATTAAAAAAAAAAAAAGAACAGAAAGGAGCACAAATGAAGAGAAAAAAGTGAAGTAAAATAAATACAGGGGTTAGAGATCTAAAACTCTTAAGTTAAAGACAATAATGGTTTAAAATGATCTAAAAATTTAAAAAAATATATAGTTAAATGCTATATGTAAAAAATAATAATATGGCAGCAGGTTATTCCAGAGATTTTCCCAACTAATACTCTCCAGTTACTCATGAAGTTCCCAGATGGGAGAGCAGGCCAGATGAGATATATAATGTTTTCAGTGGTTTCTGAGACATCCCGGAGTAGACCCATTCACCTCAACTAACTCGTTTGGTAATAACCATAGGTGACTTGGAGGTGCTTATACCAGCGGTTTCCCACTTGACTGCAAACCACACCAGTACATGCTAACAGTCTCACTCTGATGATGCCCGCAGAACCAAAAAAAGGGATGCTACTCTGAGCTTCCCAAAGCAGATACCCACCCCAGCTACATCTGCACTAATTCAGGTTTCTTCCACACCAGTGAGGGAACATTCCACATCCCAATGAACAGACAGTGATGCTTCGAGTCAGCATATCCAAGCCCCTGTCTTTTCTTGATACTCAGGTCACACTGCACCTGAGCCCAGCGTCTCTCCCTGCATGTGGTGGGTCCATAGAGGGGCAGATCTGTTTACAGGTTTTGCCCCGCTCAGTGCCCGGCAATGGGGATTTACTACATCTCTCTTAGTCTCTTATCCCTGCCCTGAAAGCAGTTAGCCTTGGAACATGAAACAGATCCCTGGATCAAAGGGATGTGCAAATCCCTCTCTCATCAACAAGGTGTCAGTTTGTCAGGGGTTGTAAAAAAGTTACATAATATATAATATAATAAAGTGTGTGTATACAGTAAAACAAAATAAGAGATATAAATTTAACAAAGAAAGAATAAAGATGTCTTACTAAATGTAATGGGGGGGAAAAGCGCAGCAAATGTCATATAAAATTAAAGTTGCTCAATAAAACAATGTCTAAGTGTGGCCAGCAGATTTACTGCTCAGAGATGCTACAGTGAGTGGACAGGGAGGAAAATTAAAGACTGAAATTATTTCAAATTATTGTTAGCTCAAGAAGCTCTAAAGGCCTCACCTCCTCGGTCTCAGACCACCTGCTGATCTCTAGTCCTTGACTTTTGCTGATGGACATCTTGAGAGTGGCAGGGATCCAGATGTGCCGCAGATCCTCTGTGCGAGTGTCAAAGGTGATGCCCTCCATACCGCAAATCTCCTCCCCACTGCACAAAGTTTAAAGTGTAAAGTTCAACAACATATTTAATCACAATCTAAGATAAGAAGTGCAATTTCAACAGCACATTTCAGTTTTTCTACATGATCAATGTAGAAAATTACAGAAAAAGATCTGATAGCTCAGTGCCAAAAGACTGTCCCATATTTGATGTTTCTTTTTTTCCAACGGAAACTTTTCTGTCATTTAATTGTTTATCCAATCCTCACTACTTTGGTGTAGTATGAATGGACACAGGGGGAGGTCTTTATCGGGAGGAAAAGCTATAACACAACAAACACAGTTAAAAGTCCAATAATTTATGCCTACCTTCATTTTTCCAAAGTTGTCTACCACGCCAGATTGGAGTCTTTGTCAAGCTGACTCTGGCCCGACTAAGGCCTCCAAACCTTATGTTTGACACCCCTAAGGCTTCTCAAAGTGCTCCTTCCAATGTACAGCTGTGTGTGTCTGTGTGACTATTCCTTTAAAATGAAAAGGGGTCTTACTGTACTTACTCTAAGCACCACTCAGTGGGCATGGGAGGTGGTTCTTTAGGTTTTGCTGGTTCCTCTTTCTGCTTGGCTTTATTGAAAGCATACTATAAAAAAACATTCATGTAATTAATAACAAGTTAATTAAAACCAAGATGGTCTTCTTCTTTCTTTTTTTTTTTAATGACAGAATCAATGTCCCTTACCTCGGCCTGAACCTTCCAGAATTCAGCCTCTTTGGCACTGTTCACCTCACAGTTTATCACCAAAACATCTGGGAGACATCGAATGTTTCGTGTCTGCACCTACAGTGTAACACAAACACACTATCACTCTGCAGCACGGCTAACAATCTGTTATGTATTGACAATATGAGTGAATAAAAGCTGTAACTCACTGTGGGCTGATACTTCTCACAGTTTTCACACCATGCCTGAGTGCTCTGCTCCAGGCAGATGCTTTTCTTCAGGATCTCAGCAAAGTCATACTCCTTTATTGTTTTTTCTGAAAAATATCAGAGTCAAATGAATATACTTGTAACAGATATAGCCTACTGCTCACTCAACATTAAAACTACCCATCTGTAATGGAGGACATTCAAATATTTAAAGCTACAAATACAGAACAATAAAATAAAGTAGCTCTGGAAAAGGATATACAGAGGAAGATAATTAAATCTCTAAATACAGGATTAAAAAAAACAGATATTGGAAACGGATAAGATAAAATTATCATTATTATTATTTTTAAATGTAAGCAGATGATATATATATACGTGTAAGAAAGAGGAGATATTATGAGTGTGAAATGCACACCTCAGTGCTCTCAAACTGACCTTGAGTGTTCTGCTCGGGGTAATGCATGGTGAAGAGCAGCGTGAGGGAGGAGCGGACCGTTTCTTTGCCACAGCGACACAAACTACTGTTCTCAACTTCACAACCAAACAGCTTTCCAATGACAGACTCACCAGAGGAGCCCAGAGAACTGCAACACAAACACAGAGCAGTCACATTTGTTACGCAGATGTTATCTTTTAAACGGTTTCTACTTTTATAAACAAACTTAATAAGACTGGAAATATGTTCAGTAAGACTGCAGGGCTTACTAGACTCACAGAGCAGTTTTTGCTCTGTGAGTGACTAGCGATGGGGAAACAGTAAGGAATCCTGCAAATGATTCGCTTTCTCTCAACAGAGGTACAAGTTCCTGTCAGGGTACCCGTCTGATCTTTTATACAGTCTCACGTAACAATAAACTGGACGTTAAATAAATCCAGGTGATATGAGGTGTTTTGTAATGTTACTGTCACTTCATTGTTAGATGTATGTAATTATGTCTGTAATTGTGATGCCTTTTTTGATGTGGTTGTCTTTATCAAACAATCACCACACACAGAAAGAGAATTTCTCAAAGGATAATGACAACATAACAATTGAACTATTTCTAAGCATTGGTCCCCAGGCACAACACCCATATGTGTGTGCTTTGGCCAAGGCCACAGTGACGGGAACAGTAAAGTAACCATGTTAAGGATGGAAGAAACACCAGCTCCAGAGGAAACCCACAGACCCAGGACTCTTTCTCTAAGCAGCCTAGATCACATCCAGACTGATGTATTATACCTGCTGCTAGCACCTCTGTAGGCTTGCGGACCCTCCTGCTCCTGTGTCTCCTGGTGAAGCTGGGTGAGGATGAAACGATTCCAACTTTGGATTAAGCGACCAAGCCTAGCCTTCCCCGTTTGCTCGTCCGAGTCTGAGAGGATCAGGCCCAACGCCGAGGCTTCAGGGATGGTTCGAAATGCTCTGAGGAAGTTACTGGCCTTGAGGAAGATGATAGGAGATGGTACTTTGGGAAAGCTACATAATAAATTATTGTCCAGTTGCAAAGAAATGAGGATTCAATTTAAGGGTGCTGTATTTCCCAAGAGGCTGAATCGTTATTTCAGAGAAATGAATGGAAAAAACTTACCTGACATGGATCTCCTCGTGACAAATCTAACATGTGAAAGAGGAAGCCGAGCTCACAGGCCAAACAAAACTCTTTCTGGCACAAATGATTCTGAACAAGACACCGAATCGGCTCCAGGAAATATAACACCTAAGACAAAAAACCAGAGAGCAACTCTTGATGATGTCTCATATCACAAAATCATTTTTTACCAAACACATTGTAAATCTTCAGTCTCTTACCTGGATCATGCAGTTACAGTAGGCATTGGGAATGTGTGGCTCCAGGCCAGCAAACAAGGTCCTGTTGTAATGTTTGAAGTCAAAGTCCTCCAATCCAAGTTTAGAGTATTTAATTGTGACCTGAAGCAGAACAAAGACATCTTCATCATGTGTTTTGGAAATCTAAATTTACAGTAAAACTTTATATATTGTGATACGTCAAAGATAAATCTCATCTCTATATGAGAACGAGAATGAAATAAAGTCCAACCTTTCTATACTTTTTGGGCACCATGTAAAGATGTGGCTCTTCATCACGTCCTATTGGTGACTCAGGGACCTGGTTGTAATTATCATAATCAGGCTCCACATCTTTAATTTTATAAGGAACCTGAAACCAAAACAGGGACCACAAAAAAAAGTTATATTATGTTAAAAACCATGTGTTTAACTGGTTTTCAACCTTAAAATAGAAAAATTGTTAGGATTTTGTGAAGAAGGACAATTAAAAATCTTTTTTCCCCATTTAAATTAGCATAACCAAGTTCTTCACATGCCTGGTTCCTGGGGCGGGTACGAGGATTTGCTGCGTAACCAATGAAGCCAACAGTTTTCATAGTGCGGAGGATTTCTGGGTCCACCGGAGGGGCTCGTCTGTTTAAAAAAAAACAAAAAACACATGTTTTAGATTGTAAAGCAGTTAAGGGGAAAAGGGGAAAGGGGCAGCTACAAGCCATGCTTCTCATTCTGAAGTGCCTTTAATAGTGAAACAGGACTAAATTAATATATTCGTTCAAAAAAAGAAAAAAAAAACTGCATCACAAACTTTACAAAATCTGAACACGAAGAAAATCCAACCAATTTCAAGCCATAGTTTACATGTTTTAATTAGTGTCATAAAATATGGCGTGTCTCTGTCCCTTCACATAAAGTGTGTAATATATGGCTTCAAATACAGATGTCATCATTTCCATTGGTAATGTCATCGACTATGACTGCAGAGAAGAGAAATTAACCACTTCCAGATTGTCAAGTAATATGTTTATGGTATGAATCGTTATGTCATGCATGAGATCGTACATCTCCATTGATCCAGCTTCTCTTTCCTGGTTTGGTTTTACCATATAAATTCAGAAAAGCTTGAAAATGTTTGATATTTCTCCACACTGTTTAAAAACTTCTTTTTTTCTTCTTTTTTTTTGGTAAAGAAAAACGATCCTTGAAAAACTGAAGTCAACAATGCTTTACTCTGTCTCTCAATTCTTTCCAACTTCCTTATTCTGTCTGTGGCATCCAGCCCCGAGCCCACAGGTTCCTGATGAAAATGTAAATTTCTTAAAAACACGTCATAAACCTATAGTTTAATTTTCCACCGAGGCTAAATAAATTCCTAAAACAGCTGGGAACTTAAAGTCTTGGCAATAGTGTATTTTTTGGAACCACTTTCTGCCTTTGATGCATTTCTTTGTATTTTGAGAAGTGTGACAGTGTAATGTGGAGTTCGTTTGACATAAACTATAGTGACCCTGATGAACTTTTAAAGACAAAAACAGTTTGGTTTTCTATCCGAGTTACTTTCCAGAGTGTGTGTTTCAGTTCAGTTTTTGGTGACTTATTTGTTTTTAATTTTAGTTTTTAAGTTAAGTACAACAGTTTTGTATATACTGTTAATAATTGTGTTACCTGGGGCTGGGTGTAGCCAGGGCAGTGGGCCAGTCTGACAGCAGAGGCTCAGTGCTCGTCAGCGGCATGGGGATCAGAGAGAGGGGCAGCAGGTCGTGATTCCAGTCCAGCTGAGGCAGTGTGTCCACGAGGCAGGGCAGGGCAAATTCTGTCTCCCGTGAGTAGTCATTGAATGAAACTTCTGGAGCATCGGACCAAAGGTGCACACATCCCCCTGAATCCCCAAAGGCTAAGGCTTGTTTGCTTGTTGACACGTCAAAACTCATGAGCAACTGGCCCACTGTGTTGACGTGAAAAATATCTGCCATGTTGGCAAGGCCGGTGGGCTCACAGAACTGGCACTGACCTGGAAAAAGAGAGAATGCAGGCGGTTATAGTGAAGCTAAATGTACCATCCATCCATTCTCTTGCACTTTCAATTCAGGATCACGAGGCGGGGGGCTGGAGCATATTCCAGCTATCATAGGGCGACAGGCTGTCGGACTGTTGCAGGGCCAACACAGAGAGACATACAACCATTTGCACTCACATTCACACCTATGGTCAACTGAGAATCACCAGATAACGTAATCCCACTAACTGTATGTCTCTGAACTGCAGGAGGTAGCCACAGAGAATGCAAACTCTGGCCAGAAGGCGGATTCATACCCAGGACTAGCGCTAACCCCCACACAACCATGTTGCCTGGCTACATGTAGCAGTTTTTGGAAACATAAGAGACTGCGGTAAACTACTGATCAGATGTCAGTTTTGTTATTGACTTTCCTAATGATAATATATCAAACTAAATGATGACTCCTATCATCAAAGTGTTCTGCTTTAGCTCTTAAAACCATACAAGACCAGAAAACTACAGTCATTGCATGAGGTCCTGTGCAACAGCTGGAAAGAGGAACAAACACATCAGGAATGCCACAACAGCTCTTGCTGGCCTCACTGTACAGCATTAAAATGAGAATAATTGTGTACATTGCTTGTGTCATGAGCACACTCTTCTATAGCACTAAGAGCTGGACAACATACTCCAGGTGGGAAAAAGACTCAACCCCTTTTCACTTATGATACCATAGTTACAAAGAGAACAAAATACATTTGACTGTAATGTCGAAATTTAATTCTTGTTGGTATTTCACTTATGTTGACCAAACAAACCAAGGAAACTAACAAGCAATCAGACTAAAGAACTCTAAAGTTGACTAGACTCTTTAGTTCATACCTGTCTGTGAGAGGATTGCAAGCCGTGACGTGTAGGTAGGAATGAAGCGCAAGAAGAGGGGATCCACATGCACCTGAAGGGGGGTTACAGCACGCATCATGCGGAGGTCATACACCATGAGGAAACGGTCACATGCCAACCCATTCAGGCCTCGGCTGGAGAATCCACATGCAGCCAGAAGGTTTCCGTGAACATCAAAGTCTGACAAGCTGCCAGAAAATGCATCAAACTCATGCTCCATCTTAAAGGTACGCAAGTCACGAAGGGTCACCTGTTTTGAACGGAGGGTAAATGTGAGAGTCATGTAAAACAAACAAATTTTTTTCAAAACTGATATAATCATATGAGACTTACTTTGCCAGAAGTGTGTCCACAGAAGAAGAAACGATTGGTCTGACGCATTATTGCCACTCCAGGTACCTCCACTGTGAACTGGAAGTACAACCAAAACAGCAGACAGTCAGACACTTGCTGTGAAGTGCTATGTTGTGCCAGTGGTCTATGCTTATATCAGGGTTGATAAATGCAAGCCTGATGTCTTACTTTTTGAGTTTCTTGGACTGTATTCAGGTCAACTTCAGCCACATAGTTTTGCAATCCACCCATGAGCAGCGTGTTGTTATCAGTCATGAGGAGGCTGTGCATATCAGCTCCTTCCTCCATCCTGCAAAGCACCAAAAATGGCCATTAATTCCATAACCGTAAAAATATTTTCACATCTCCATGTCATAAACAATCAATGTGAGCACAAAAACAGACAGGTGACATAGAGGCAAAAACACATCCCTATTTAAGATAGGTAGGATTCACAATAATATCTACTGACAGTGTTTCTTCTGTATTTTTGCAGAAAACTTCACCAGGACACTTAATGTTGTATTTTCTCTAATTTCTCACCAATATTGTGCAACATATCAACAATCAATGTAAAAGTAACACTTACGGATAATCAAACATGACGAGACCTCCACGAGTGTAACATCTCAGGTTGCATTTAGAGAGGAACAGCACGCCTGTTTCCAAACTCTGAATATGTCGGATGTCATCGGTTGCGTGGACTTGGAAAGAAGAGAAGCGTGCCATTGTTGGTCCAAAGAATGATGTTACATGACCCTTAAAAGAACACAAAAAAGGAATATTACAAAGTGTAACGGCTGACAAAACGATCTGTCCTCCAATATAATTCTGGGTCTCACTCTGTGGTTTCCCATCCAGAGCATTTCCTCCTGCAGGTCAAAATGTGTTGCAGTGACAGGGATGCCAACTTCTGAAACTACACTGTGCAGCTCAGAAAAGATCCCCTCCATCAGGTGTACAGGCTCCGGGACGGTCACAGCCTGTCCCTCTGGGTATAGCTCCACACCCTGGAGTAGTTTTGGGTTTAGGTGTGGGTCCATGGAGGGTTCCAGGCCTGCATCTAGAGTTCCATGAAGGCTGGCTGAGTATTCACCCATCCCAGGGTCAAGACCGTCAAAGTTCATCATGGATTCAGTTAAATCAACCTAAAGAGAAACGCCAACGCATGTTAATAGTGACACCAGGGTCATGTTGAGGTGTTGGATTGGAACCAATTTGTCTTTGTCTTTTTGTTGCTGGGTGCTCTAATGTTAGGATGTTAGGCTTGGAGAAGGTTCTTTCGAGTTTTTCCTTTTCCAAGATGGGAGTCTTGTTTTATTTCTTTTTGGTTAAAATCTCAGGTTGTTTCTTTGACTTAACACTGACTTAATATCCCATCATACTTTTAGAGTTGGAGAAGGAATTCGGATGAGAGGTGAAACATCTTAAAAAACCTAAGAAGAAGTCCAGTAGTCCTAAAAGCAGGCGCTACTACAATGACCTGGATGACTGAGAATCTGCAAAAACATCCTGCAGCTTTGATGCTAGCTTTGACGTAGCTTTAGAGTTCGCATTTGTAAGCTAACAGGGGAAAAACCCGAAAGACGATTCTCTGGTATCCATTTCTAAAACATACATAGGGTAGATAATCTAAAAAGTAAAATAAAATAACTCACACACAAGAGTAGTGTCTAATTTAGCCGTGTTTTAACGCTGTTTTGTGTCCTTTATCTAAATTAGCTAATATTAGCAGCGTTGTGGCTAACCTGAATTGTTCATGCTAAACTGTACGATACCTGTAATACTAAACAGGCCCACCCATTTCTTAAACTTAAAAATATACCGATTTAAGGTCATCACCTACCTAAGCCTGAACTGCAAAGTTGTCCATGCTCACACTTCATTCACAACAACAAACACACAGACACTGGAAAACGTTTCCGGGGCACCTCTGGTGCGTTTAGGAACCGCGCTGGAGCGTAGGCTTCCGTTGTTATGCCAGACGCACATTTCATCTTGAGAGTACAGTAGGCCTATTCATTAACTCTTTAAGTTGATTTAGCTATTCATTTAGTAAAACACTAATAAATTATCTTATTAATCATAGTTCATAGTTTATGTTTTTCATTGACAAAAACACAAGCACATGAGATTTATAGGTCCTTTTGGAGTTGTTTTCAAACATCTCAGTTATCTTGACAGCTAACTTGACAGCGCTAAAAATTATATATTAATCTAATACTAACATCAATTATTCTCTTTGTATGGCTAGCTCTCTAGCCCTGGCGCTGCATGATACGTGAATGCACCGTGAACTCCCGTGTGTGTTTGTGAGGTCCTGAGTTCGACTCAGGTCGGGTTCCTTTTATGTAGAGTTTTCGTGGTCTCCCCGCGCTTGCGTGTTTTCTTTGAGGGTACTCCTGTTTCCTCCCACGGTGATAAGACATCCAATTAGCGGGGTTAGACTAATTGATTGATTCTAAATTTCTCATAGCTGTGAATGTTGGGTTACTATGGTCACTATGTACCTGCGTAACTGCGAAAACGCTCCATCAGATTAAGGTATGCCAGAGTTCAAGGGAAATTTTAAAATTACGCAGTGTTTATTTCATCATCAGAAAGGTGACAATTAAAAGGTTTTTTTTTCTCTATACTCAAATTTCCATGCCATCATGGGTGTGATGACAATTCAGGCTAATTTTATATCATAAGGTCATGAACAAACATTAACAAACAAAGCCAGTCAAAGCCAGTAGCTGTATTGCGTAAGGCATTTCTGGAAATATGAACATATTGAAGTCAATGAAAGTGTTAACATCATGTTTTGGTTGTTTTTCGTTGGGCTTTGCCAGAGATTACTCATCCTGATAGTTTCAATTATCGTTTGCTATGTCAAATCAAAATTGCAGTGGTTCAACCAATATTAAAAACAGCTAATAATAATTCAAAATATGGTATTTCTTTATCTACAGCTAGGATAAATGTGTCAATTATATTCAGTGAAATATATGTAACCTTGTTATTAAACATGGGCTATTTCTAACATAAAAAGCAGAGTTTATAACACGATTTTCTTCAATGTAAAGATTAGTTTAAAATAATTCTTTAGCACTTCACTGATGGCCAGCCATTCAGCGCACTTCGGGAAATAATCACGACCTTTTCCCCCAAGATGAGTGACTTTTCATCAATCCACTCTTATCTGTGTCCATTGACATAAAAATAATGTTTTCCAAATTATGTCAAAAATTCCATATGATGAGGTTGGAGGCGGTGGATTTAGACTCATACACATATGTTCACACATGGCTTGTATCAATTCAACTACGCAATGAATTAAAAAATATGTCGCTTGCTTAAATTTAGGAATTAAAAACTATACTACCTTGGGCTTAGAGAATATTAAAATTCAACAAATTCCCAAGTTTTAAATCTTTGTTTTAAACTTGGGAATTATCATGTTATAATGGTGACGCTACCCACAAAGCGTGTTCAGTGACACTAAAGACGTAGGGAAAAAGTGATAATTCGTGTCCACGGAAAAGCAATCATTTATTTTAAAAAAAAAAAATCTAGTCTCTTTGTAGGGTAATTGAGGTGATTACTGAACTACTTGTGCCTCAACAGTTCTTATTTCTTAATCTTATTTCTTATACTGCTTGTCAGGGACCAAGGCATAGGACACAGGTGTTTAATTCAAAAATGGGATGTTATTTATCCAAAAATATGAAAAAATAATTGACAAAGCCAAAACCTTCAATAGGCAGACCAATAAAAGAGGTCAACTCAATAAACTAAATGCAAAATAACCACTAACAAAATCTCAAACAAACATAAGAAAAACTGGTCTCCTGAAATGACGCGAGGGAACTTACTGGCTTAGCTAAATCATATGAAAGACAAGGGGGAAACAAAGTGGCTGCCATATAACCAATTAACACAAAACAATTAAACAAACTCCAAACACCCCCGAGGCAATGAAGCATGTGGTTTAGTCCAATGAGGCTGTCAGCGGTATTTCAGATCCCCCGGCCCTTTGCCACACGTTTTGCTAACTGGAAAGGAGAAACAGAATCGCCAGGTAACTCAGCCAAAGAAAACTGCTGTACTATCACATAAAACAGAACTTTGGCCTTGCAGTGTTGATATGTGTGCACTCCATATAAACATTGGAAGGTGTGATGGAGATACATTTAATAAAGAAAATATATATATGATAATAAGTAAAATATATTTAAAGTATTGACTGCAGAGTAAACTAAAGTGAAGCAACTAGTGGTGAGTTGTGGAGCTTGCCATCACAGAAAGTGAATAGTGAAGTCGATCAGAAATCAACGTGGAGTGTTAAAAGAAATTATATATTTAAATAAATATGTATTTGTATCAAAAGTGTGAAGATATTAAAATGAATTGCGCAGAAATAATAAAATGTGGTAGTTAATAGAAACTGCTATGATGGAACCATGATGGCCCTTCTTTTTTACAGAAAGGTATCCGTGGTGTTTCACCTTCATGTGTCGATAAACTGTGGAAGTACGAGTTTATGATCCATCACTTCCAAACTCTGTGAAATGCAAGAACTCCCTCCGATTTTCTTTCTTTGTTTAAAAAAAAAATCATATTGAACTAAATATCTTTGAATCTTGGATTACTGCCTTGGTAAAACACCTGCACCTAGCGGATGTGTTCCAATATTTTCTAATAAATAAATAATTATTGGCATACAAATTATTTCCAAACGAAATATTTAGAGTGTGGATAATAAAAGTAATTGTTCGCTCCTACTGAAAATAACAAAGCAGATAAAGATAAAGAGGACTGCACCATTTGATAACAGCACAAACCGACCATAAACGACCTGAGCAGGAGCTTTTTCTGGACTTTTATTCCTGGACAAAGTGTGATAAGAATTATGTGCATAATATGGTTTTCTCACAAGCCTTAAGTGAGGAGCTATAACGTTTATGCTTTTATTGGTCATGTCTTTGCCGTATTTTTGAGTGGTTCTCAAACACTCTTGTTTATTTCCCCTATATCATAAGTTTAATCAGCTTGGTTTCAGTTCATATTCTTCCCCTGGTCGTGTCACATTGAGTGCCTAGCATCGCGTGGTTTTACTGCGCATCCACAAGTTGGAAGTGATTAATCCCAGCAACAACTAGGACACACAGAAGTGGGACTGTACGTGATCCAGGGGTTTACATAGCAGCGTATGTTGACGTTGTTCAGGGGGAAATCTCCCATAGCAGCGAGAACATCAAAGCAACAGAGTGTGTGAAAGGGATGGTTGACCCGCAATTTTCGGATCCTCTGTCGTGTTAATCTTTCTTGATTGGACAAAAACGCCATATATGTGTTTATCCTATCAGCTGAGGATGAGCTATTTGACGGAGGTAGGAGCTTAATGCATTTTTGTGCTAATCTGAAATAAAGTCTCTAACCAAAGCTTTTTAATTGACAAATAAACACATAGATGGTCAGTAAATGCAATAGCAGGACCAAATCATTAGTGTTTGTGCGCCCCTGTGTTTTCGCAATAACGTTGAACAGAAATGGGAAAGATAAAGGAAGTGTATATCTTATGTCTTCCCTGAATTTTTTCTTTCTCAGAAAAAAACAGACGATTTGGTTTTTCTCTGGTAGTGAAGAGGGGCAGATCGTGGACACAAACGGAAAGTTTGCCCAATAAGAACTCACCTCGTTATCGCTCTGAAATACAAAGGTTACTCTCACTTCCTCGCCAGATGTGAAACTTTGATTAGAAAGACTTTAGTTGGTGTCTTTTTCCTTGTAATCTTTCGCACATAATAAGTGAAAAATGTGGTCATTGTGAATGATTTGATATTACACGATTAAAGCGACCCATAAAGGGGAAGACATGAACATTGTCAGACTGAATAACATTGTTGCTAGCCTGGATTTTTTTTTCCTTTTGTCTTTCTTTCATTGTATTGTATACGGCGCCGGACATCTTTAGCTTTAGCGTCATCGTTTAAAGCCCACAGCCTGCCGACCCGAGTATTTTTGCTAACCGTGTCCACAGTGTACCCATCTTTTGATAGCTGATGGCAGCAGCCTTATCTGAAACATGACAGTGAGTTCACTGTACTCAAATGGCCTCCACAGCCACCAGATCTAAGTTGAGATTCGGGCTCTGGTGGAGAATCACATCGTGGTTAAGCAGCCGCAAAATCTGCAACAACTATTTGATGCTATCATGCCAATATGAACCACAATCTCTGATAAATGTCACCTTCATCTTGAGGTTTATATGACATGAAGAATTAAGACTGTGCCTAAGGCACAAAAAGGAGGGCTCAACCAGGTCTTGTGCCAAAGAGTGACAGTCTGCAAATAAAAATAAAAATTGAAAATGACGTTGTTGTCCTATAACCTGTCAAACAAATGCCAAACACATCTCTCATGAATGAAATCAAGCCATTTTTAATCAAAAAGAACATCCCTATAACCAGCCAGTTAGTTTTACATGTTGTTTTTATTTATCTGGTAAAAAGGGAAATTGATGTTAAAATACTTCTTTCAAGAGAGATCCTGCCAAGAGGGCGGCAATATGGAATTCATATAAAGATATTTTATGTGCCCAAAAAGGCTTGGTTGATTATAAACCTACAAAGTAGGTATTGTACAAAAACGCAGTCACAAATAACTTGGAAAACGGGTAATTTCTTTATTTTATATATAACATATATATTTAACATATGTACATATATACATGGCATTTATTAACATGAGCAAAGATATTAGAAACAACAAAATCGCAAATCTCTTTCAGCAGGCACAAGGCTGGTACGAGCGAGGTGTCCCCAGTTAAGTGACCGGTGAATGCAGTTTTCCCTTTGAGGGTAACAGCATGACTGTGCCCCGATGTGAAACTTTGATTAGAAAATGTTTAAGCGAGTTGGCCTTTTTCGCTTGTAGCCTTATCACAAACAGTAA